CCCTGGCAGAGCTTGAGTCTGTGCCCTCTTGTCCTGCTGCTGGTTGCCTGGGAGAAGAGACCAACCCCCACCTGACTCCAACCTCCTGTCAGGGAGTTGCAGAGGGTGAGAAGGTCTCCCCTGAGCCTCCTCTTCTCCAGGCTGAACACCCCCAGCTCCCTCAGCCTCTCCTCATGGCACTTGTGCTCCAGTCCCTTCACCAGCCTCGTTGCTCTGCTCTGGACTGAATTCATATGTCTTTCTCAGTAAATGTCCTGGGTTAAGTACCCTGAGGGTTGGTGGCAAAGCTGTAGTGCCATAGTCTGTCCTGATGAAGTCCTTTCTCTTAACACTGACAAACTCAAACCCTTCTGTTTCTAGGAATTTGAACCCTCTGAGCAGGTTTCTGGTTTTGAAAAGGAAGTCTAAGGGGAAAGCTGTGTTTAAGAGGCTGTTGGGGACACATCTCTCCGAGGAGCCAAGGGTGAGCTGTGGTTCCACAGCCAGGACAGGGATGGGTTGTGTTCTGTGCTAACTAACCAGTCTAAAGCTATTGCACCACTGACTCACGCTCAAAGGGCACAACCTCTTGAGGCACCTTAACAAAGTTTTCTTTTAAGCACTTCTTGCTAAAATTCAGTGGGGAATTTTAAGGGCAGGGCAAAACGCTTACAGAAGCTGTTAGAATAATGTAACAAATGGCTGTAGCAATATTCATGGTTTGAACAACTTCATACACTGAGGAAGAAAAGTTCAGGTGGACTGGGAGTTACCCAGGGTGGGCAGTAGAGCAGAGTGGAAGACACTGTTACTGTTAGAATGTGCTTGGATTATTATGCTGTATTTCTTCTGTCTCATATTAATTCAGTGTTCATTTTGCATTCACATGATTTAAGATAGAGATTTCATTTACTGTTTTCACCACATATATATTGCTGGGTTATATCATGCAGCAATGCTTTCCAAAAACTAAATGGTCTTTTTCCAGGAAATTTCAGAGATTTATTTTGTTTTCAACAGGAGTCATATTTTCCTGAATCACTGAAAGAAAATATAGGGTTGTTTTCTGGAAAATACTGTCTATAAATTTTTTAACACTTCACCTTTTACTTTGAATTTTAAGGCTATTTACCAAAAAGGAGGGAATAACCACATCTGATGGTGGCCCTAATCATTTTCAGGGATAAATCATCCTAGTAAGCAGTGGTGACCTGTACTTCATAATCTGTTTGGTATTCTGTAAGGAAACACATAGAAGCCTCAGTATGTTAAAAACTGTGTAAATACATTCCAATAACTGGCATTAAACTCATTGTTTAGTAGTTCTTCTCTGGGGAACTGAGATTTTTACCAGTATTTTGCTTCAATTCAAATGGATTAGTAAATAGTGATATTGTAAGCAGTGAATAGTTTCAGTGGGTTTGAACAAAAATTAAGACAAGTTTAGATTTTGAAGAGTGAAAATACTAACCCAGAATCAGCTCCTTGAGTACAGTGAGGTGTGTTGGTAGGGAAGGTTCCATGGAGCTGTGGAAGGCAGCTGGGAGGAGGAGGGGGATGGATGTCAGCTTGGAGCTCATACTTCTCATGCTTTCTTCTTCTAACAATTATTCTCCTTTTTTAGAAAATACCTATGAGTTCTTCTCTCCAGTGTGAAATAATCTGTTTCCCCAGATTTACTTTAGAATTTGTCTTCATTTTCAAAACCTTTGTTAAATTTTTACCACAGTTTTCTCCTGGGAATACAATCTGTGATCTCCATCACATGCTGTAATATTAAATGTCATATTTTCTGCAGGAGCACCTGTCGTTAAAAAAGTACATTGTGGACATTGTGATTGAGAGTTCTGTTACTGTGGAACCACTGAAAGATGGAGAGGAGAAACAGAAGATTAGAAAGAAAGCCAAAAAGCTGAAGGCAAGGATGAACTCCAGGTAGAACACATTTACTTGTGGCTTTTTTTCTCTTAAGTTGGGTTCTAAACTTTACCTTTTGTCCTTTAGAATGAGTGCTGTGGAAGGCTGAAAAAAATGTAAAATTATTTGCTTTGGGAGTGTCTTGAAAATAACACTGATGAGCCTAATTTATGGGCACTTTCTCTGATTGAGAAAGAAAACTGAGTATCGATCTGGAGCCCTTGGTTTCACCTGTTAAGAGCTTTTCTCATAATTGGATGCCAGTGCCCTGCCAAAACTGTAGCCTCCTCTAGCATACAATAGCATGTTTAAATTTGTGTAAACCATGCCTATTTTTCTTTCGAGCTATTGATTTTTAAATGAAGTATCAAAGAAAATCAATAGTAATCAACAAATAGAAGTCAGCCTGCTGTGGTGTCAAATCCCATGGCTAAACTTCATCATTTTTTGTTGCCTGTCACAACAAGAAAGTTCAAAATATCTTCAAATGGAAAGTGTGTTGTCAGACCTGCAATTTGTTCTGAGTTTAAAAGTGACATCTGCAAATCAGTGTGATGTGCAGGACATCACTGTGTCACTCTTGGTAGCTGAGCAGTCCCAGCCGAGGGTAACACTGCACAGAATATCCTAACACGTTTTTGTGTTTCTCCAAAAATTCTCCTCAGTGGGAAGGAGTTATTGCTGCCTATTTTCTCAGCCTTTTAAAGCAAGAAGGGCTTCAAACAGAGCAAAACACCTGCATGGATTTTTAGAGCTGCAGTGAAAATGAGATGTTTTATTAACTCGTAATTGTGCTAATAATGGCACGTCAGTCTTGAAGAGCACATCACTTTGTTAGTGTCTGGTTGCTTTCATAGAGTCACAGGATTTTAGGGGTGGAATGGACCTTAGAGGAGATCATCTAGTCCCAACCCCTCCTGCCATTTCCTCTTGGGATGAGCAAATCCACTCTCTACACAGCACATCAGAACACACTGTTCAAACTGGCTAACATTCCCTCAGGCTCTGACTGCTCGCCCTGTTCAAACTGACTAACATTCCCTCAGGCTCTGACTGCTCAGGATGCAGAGTTACCTGTATGATCTGTTGATTTAGTGCAGTTATTGCGTCTAATTTTCACTGTTTCTTTAGAGCTGCTCCTGTTGGATTTAGGCAAAGATTTGTCAGATCTCAGAATTCAAGTTCAAAGAATAATTTGTTGTTGGCACTGATAGGAGAAAAACTTTCCCAGAACATTTTGAATTCTTACGTGTCAGACTGCTGAGTGAGTCAGCATATTTATCATCAAAAGTGATAATTAAAGCAGCACTAAGGGGCACCATTTTCAAAAGGTGATGTACTGCTGGAAGGTACAGGGAAAGTATCAAAATCTGCAAGGAGTTATGTTGGTGAGACCTGAAATTCTTGTTCCTTAGGCTTGGTTTTACTTTGGAAGGGTGACTAAACTTGTCAGTGGGATTGCTTTCCCTGATGATAACTCAGAGTTGAGTTGAGGATTTCACCATGAGTTTTCTAATGTTAACACACAAGACTTACTGGACATTTTTTATTAGCAACTCTATAAAGCAAAAATGTTTTGATGCTGATAATTCAGAGTTTCATAGGTGTTAGCAGATTATCTGTTTTAGTACATATTTGCAACTCTTCTTTAGGAAAAGGTTTAGTTACAACAAATACACAGCACCTCAACACTTGAAATGATACATTCATTGCAGTCTCTAGGACACTGAGATATTTTAAACTGGGGAAAAATAAGATCTGCATCCAAATAGGTTCCTGTTGCTCTCCTGAGTTTCCAGATCTTAAATCATTCCTGCAGTATCAGTGAGGGGCAGAGGTGAATGAGGGGACAAATGGTGATCAATGGGATATTAGATATGTTGAGAAGTTTTGTTAGTCTTGTTAATTATATTTATAACCCTGAGCCATTTAACTGGTGCTATCAGTAACAACTGATATATAGCTAAGTAAATTATCTCAGGGTAACCTGTGTGCTGTTAGCAGAGGAATTCTTGGGTGTTCACATGGGAAGAGGAGGCTTGATGCAAGCTAAATTTAAGCTACAGAGAGGTGTGGTTACCATGCAGCTGAGATACACTTTGCACTGGATTTGGAGCACTCCAGACACTGTGCACTTGGTAAAGGTATGTGGGTGATTACTCAGGTCTGACTGACTTGTCTGTACAGAAGCTGAAATGTGTTGTTTCTGGCTAAGAAGGCAAAAGGTTAATAAAGGAATCTCACCTCCATGTTTAATACTAAATTCAGTTGTGATTAATAGCTTTATTAATGACCCACAAATCAGAGCTGGTGGTGATGTAACAATATTTGCATGGAGCATACGCTGGAATGGTTAAGCAAGCTGGGGGGAAATCTGAGGAGCTTTGGGACACTTGATCCATTGGGGTGAACAGAAAATGCAAAGTGAGGTTCAGTAGATGTATCTGTACCACTGCAGTGCCTGGATTAGTTTTGCTCTGTGTGTGTGCTGTTAAAAACAGCTTACAGGATTGCCATGAATCCTATGAAACTCATGGTTTTCACCTGTTGGCATAGGAGTGAAAACAAGCAGTGGGAAAAGAGTCTTGTCTACTTCTTCCTACTTTTTGGCACGTGGCCAGTGTAAATAATACTGTTGAGGGACCAAAGATGTGGTGTTTGTTTCCAGCAGTAAAACAGTCACTCCTGGAGGTGATTCTGTGCTGTTTGCCTGACATTCATTGTGGTGCAGTACAGTCAGTAGTTACATCAAAAATATTCCTGTGCCTGTAAATATGACCAATTATTTGTATGTTGATTATAATCTCTCTGTTGTCCCAGTCTGATCTGTACTACATGTCTAAATCACTAGTATTTCCATCAGGTGAATGTGATAATTGTATAATAAGCAATAGATTACTACAGTGCTGTCACTTGTACCATTTGCTACCATTTGGAAAGTCAACTTAAGTACAATATTAATCATAAGCTGCCAGTGGCCAATAGCTGAGCACCAGTGTGGATTGTGCCAGGGCAGCACTGACACAATTGCTGGGCCTTACTGTGGAACAGAACAGCCCAAAGGTTTGAACTCTCTCTCTGGTGTCACATCCTCTGCACTGCAGACAACAGTCAATAATGATGAATATTTTCTCCTCCAGGGCGAAGGAATATGAGAGCTTGATGGAAGCAAAAAGTGCTGTGTCTGACTCCCCATTTAAAGCCAAGTAAGCATTTATCTTTATATGTTTTAGACATGTGCTTTTCCCCCTGTCTGTCACAGAAGTGTTTCTGAAATGTCTTGTGGAGCAGGTTGGAAGGTTCCCCCTCAGCAGGGGCATCTTGCCATCTTGAGTTACAGATCAGCTCCTGATACAGAAGGTCAGAACTTAATGCATTTTTTGCCGAAGACACTGTGTATCTTCAACTGTGTAAGGTGCAATAGTAAAGAGATCATATGCTCATCTCTTTCTTACCTGGAAACAAGAAGTCTCCAGCCTTGTACTTCAAGACTGAAGCAGTAACCTGTACCTGGTCCTGATGTTGTGTGGCTGCTTCCATCACTCATAGACTGCTGATACACTTGAAAGTGGCATATCCTGATGTTGTGTGGCTGCTTCCATCCCTCACAGACTGCTGATACACTTGAAAGTGGCATTTTGTAGACGTTCCTGGGGGTTAAGGGGTTCAGATTCTCACAGTTAGGCTTCCTTGGTTGTATATACAACTCTCTTGTATGCAGTATCTTTTACACAGTCTTCTCTACAGCTTCAGAACCTGCTGCTGAGCCCTGGATGTGTTTTTAAATAATAAAATTCCATCTCTGAGGCTTGACACAAGAAAATGGCCCATCTCCAGCAGATGGCACACCTGCATAAACACATGGGGAAGGAGTTGGCTTCTTTTCTTAGTCAGCAGCACTTCCATTTCCAAGATTAATTTCATGGCATATTAAGACTTTGAGATTTGTGGCTTCTGTGTTTTGCTTTTCTTTGCTACCAGAAGATTAAAAAATAGAGCCAAGTTGTCAGACAGCAGAAATGTGTGTGTTTGAGTGACTCTGAGAGTACTGATAAGCTGTAGTGCCTCCACTTTAGGGTCTTTCTGAGTTCTGATGTGATTTGCTCAGTTGTGTCTCAGTTGCAGTGCGAGTGAAACTCAAATTTTGACATTTTAAAAAATATTTTCAAATCCTTTGAATGATGCTGAGCATATAATTTCTCTTTACTTAATGAAATGGTCCTTTGCTTTTTAGTCACGATCTTCTGTTCTATCTGCTTTCTGGCTTTGTTCCATTGCTGCCTCTGTCAGGGCTATGCCCTTTGGGATGTGAACTAGCCTGATGGCCACTGTCATCACAGACCTTCTGGGAGATCTCCTCGCAGTCCTGGGGCAGAAACCTAGTGATGATTAGATCTAGGTGTGTAAAACATAGTTGCAGATATTGTAGTTATTGTTATTTCCAAAATTGCTGTCAAAAATAGCTTTATACCTACTATCAGAGCTGAGATGTTTAAGAGCCTCTTTGCACTCAGAGGGGTGACAGTGGGAGCTCAAGTCTGAACTGGCTTTTTAAGGAGAGAGGAATGTCTTTGAGTGAACTGGAAACCCAGTTTATTGGTGTTGAAATGTGTTTACTTTGCACAACTGTATTAAAATGGAAGAAGAATAGGGAAGGGTAGTTTTATCTCTTTCTGAAAGGGAGAGATGAGATGGTGAAAGATGAGAAGATGAGAGGGCAAAATATTTCATGAGGCAAGAGTTTTTTAGCCCTGACTGTTTACATGGAAGAGCATTCTTAATACAGGAAAAATGAATAGGAAAACAACTTTGTAACGTAACTAGGTACAGAATCCTACTTTCCCAAGACCTGAGGAAGAGGAGTCAGCAGAGAGACACAGCACTGGGTCTGCACTGAAGCTTTCTTACCCTGAGAAGCTGTGAAAGCAGTGTTGGCTGTTCAGCCGGGACACAGTGTGCTGCACTGATTAACTGCTGCTGTGCCTGGCTGAGAGCAACTCTCAGGAGATCTCTGAAGACATTGAGGAGAGTCCTACCACAGAAGGAAGGGAGTAAAGTCTTAGGGTGCTAAATGCATTCTCTGTGTCAAAACAAATGCCAGTATTTTTGTCTGTCCCAAGGGGAAGGTTTGAGGCCTTGGCAGCCGGGACACAGTGTGCTGCACTGATTAACTGCTGCTGTGCCTGGCTGAGAGCAACTCTCAGGAGATCTCTGAAGACATTGAGGAGAGTCCTACCACAGAAGGAAGGGAGTAAAGTCTTAGGGTGCTAAATGCATTCTCTGTGTCAAAACAAATGCCAGTATTTTTGTCTGTCCCAAGGGGAAGGTTTGAGGCCTTGGGAGTGGGAAGTAACTACCAGTATTTTTGTCTATCCCAAGGGGAAGGTTTGAGGCCTTGGGATTGGAGTGGGAATATACTGATGAACAGAAAATATTGTTTGAATCGTTAACTGTGGAACCTAAAAATGGAAAAGTTGTTTTTAAAATGCCATTTAAAATGTGGCACAACTGGTAGGTTTGTTTATTTGGTTAACAGAAGCAAATGTGTCTTAGAACTAAGTCGTTAAATATGTTTCTTTTATGCTTCCTTGCTTATGCCACACTACTCACTGCTCTCCCCCAGACTGATTGTGTCTTTGCAAACAACTAAAACCATTTATGGAATGCAATTTCTTATCTGATTCTGGTTCTCAGTCATGTTGTCAGTTGTTGCAGAAGAAAGACAGAACCCAGAATTAGTCTTTGGCAGGTAAAAAGCCTTTTTAGATCACCTTTAAGATTAAGCCACTTTAGTATTATGAGACCACTGATTTCCTGCTGCAGCTGATGGATTGTTCCAGTGGTTCTTGTAAGTCTAAGGTTTGCAGATTGTTCAAACCTTTTGCAGTAAGGAAGCACTGGTCCCAGTGCTTTCAGAGCTCTGCAGTGGTGCTGCACTAGGAGCAGTGAGCAGACAGGGTTTATCCTGCTCTGACAGACACAGGGTGTATCCCCTGTTCAGTCTGAGAGCTCATTCCCCACCGGGATTGCAAATGGCTCCAATTAGTTGTTTTTTAGAAACAAATTAGGGTTCATTCAAACCTGTCCTGGTTGGGACAGGGTTTTTTTTCTTTGTTGTATCCACTAAACCGGTTGTGCCCATTAGGGGATGGGGGCCATAATTCCAAATACTGCCTGATTTGGTAGGTGTTCTGGGCTCTGAACTGTTTCATGTACCAAGAGGGACATTCTCTGCTGGATTTGCTCCTGACCTCTCTCCACTCTGTGTTTGCTGGTTGCTCACGGTGTGTGCCACGGGGTGTTAGCTGTCCTGCAGGGAGCACAGAACCTGCTTTAAGGGTTAGCAGCACAGCTCCATTTCAGGCTGGGCAGGAACTGCCACAGACACTCTGAGCCCCGGGAAGAATTGGGGCTGTGTGTCCGACTGGCACGGAGTGGCTGGGAGCAACCACTCCTTCCGTGCAGGAACTGCACAGCATCCAGCACATTCAAACACATCCAGCCCAGGCACACTAATCCTTCCTTGCATACATCACTGTACAGCCAAGAAATCATACATTTCAATCTGGAAGTGCTGAAATACATTGATGTTACTATTTCCAGGCTTTTTTTTTCTGGAGATGAAATGTGGCCTATAAATATTAGCAGATCTTTTTCCTTTAGCCTATAAAATATATTAAAGCTGCTAAAAATATTTAGCCCACGCTGAAAAGTAAAACCTTTAATATGAATATCCCTCGTTTTCCCATTTGCAGTATAAAAAAATCAGACACTGTGTTTGTATTTGCTGAACATACTGTTTGTTAAAGTTTGCATTATGGTAACATTCCAAGACCAAGGCTTTACGTCCCTCCTGATATTGCTTCTGCCTTCTGCATTACCTATTTGTGGGCACTACTAAGACCTTAATTAGTAAGATGTAAATAACTTCAGAGAAAAAGATGTTAACTTTCCTTTTGTCCAGCTCAGTAAAGCTTCAGTTATTTATCATTCCCTGTCTGGCATAATAAGCATTGGAAGAGTGAAAATCAAAGGACAGAAGGAAGGTCAAACAATTATCTTGAAATGTCCAGATTTGGATTCAAAGGTATTTCCACATCGTCACCGGATCAGGTGTTGGTGCCATGCTCTAGGAATCCACAGCTCATACAGAGTGTACAGGGAGTGCAGTGTGTACAAAGAGTTCTCTCTTTCCCAACCTGTTCATAGCAGTGGGAAATTCTGCATCCAAACACAAGTCCTCTTGCCTAGATTTCTAGTCCATTCAAACAGTCCTAAAATTACTCTTATTTCTCTGACACTGCCAAGAAGTCAGTGTAAAGGCTATTAAAGTCGTTTCTCCAGGCTTCACTCAGCAGGAGAAGGGAGTTTGTACTTCCCTTCTCTGCCCTGTGTGATCACATAGCATCCCTGAACTGCTTTTGGCACCATAATGTAGGATGTGAGGATGTAAAAGGGAATTCCTTGATGTGGTGGAATTGAAAATGTGTTCTTCATGGTTCTTACTGCATGGTGCCGAGCACACACTTAGGAAGTTTGAACTTTGGTTAAAGCATCCAGAAAGACTTTGAGAAGAAATGGAAAACTGGATGCTTTTCCTTGGGATTAATGTGCTGTACAGCTTTTTTTTTTAAAAACTGAGGACAGAAACTGAATGTGACATTTAAGTTACAGAGCATCTTAATACACTGAAGAGAAAGGAACTTCTGTTACTGCTGTCAATAGGAGTATCAGTGTGATATGATTATGTTCTCCTTGAGTCCTTGTGAGCAGTGTTTTGGTAAACCTTACACATTCTGTATGCTGATGCCTGCTGTAGATTAGGAAGGTGCCTTTCTTTAGCCTTGGTGCTTAATCCTGGTTGAATTCCATTCCTCTGATGTTAAGTGAAGCAAATGGAAAGCTGTCTTGCTGTCTTTTGTCAGATGAAGTTACAATACAGTGTGGTGAGTTTTTGCAGTGCCTTATATATGCTTTCATCATGGAATTTGGGTAGATATTTCAGAGAAATAGAGTAAGTCCTTTTGCTGAATGCACTAGGATATTGCCAGGGCAGTAGCCATCCTAAATCCCAGTCTGTGAGAGCACCTGCTATATACTCTGCTTCTGGATCATCTCTCTGCACTGCAGCAGTTCCACTGCTCATTGGTGCTGTGGTCGTTTGATTCACTGTCCAAATCCTGCACTTCTTTGGAGTTTGGCTTTTCATTTTGTTTCCCACTTTAGCTCGTGGCTTATTGAGATGGACAGAGGCTTCCTCCAACCTCATTTTCCACAGAGGAAATAGCAGTGCAAAAAAACCTCATCAGGGTGTAGTCTCCTCTGATTTTTCTTGTCATAGAAAAGTCCTGGTTGAATATTAGTGGATTCAGCTGACCAGGTGATAAGAAGTCCAAGACTCAAAATTCTTTTTTAGCTGTACTTTAAGGACGTATATGTATCTTTAGCTTGTCTGGAAAGCTATTAACTTTTCCCAAAGAGAAGGGACAGAGTACCTGTTTCCTCTTAAGTGAAAACTCTGTTCTTCCCCGAGGGAATATTCTGATTTTGGGGATGGGCTTTTGATACATGTGACTATTGTGGCACATTCTTGAGTCATTCCATCTCCTGTCTTGCCTCTCGGAGACTGCTTAGTGTAATTTTCTCTTTGCCATTACTCTATGGTCACTTTGTGAGTTCCTTCTGGCCCTTTCACCACTAGAAGCCTTCACCTGAGCTGGTTGTTGCTTTTACATTCAAGGCACAGAAGGAGAAACTATGAGTGTGTTTTGACTGCTCTATGTTAGACCTTAGGGTGAGGTAATTGTGCCTTGGAACTGCACATTTCTCCTCAGGAGAGCATAGGTGAACAGCCCAGATGTAGACATATAAAACTGAAATGAAACCTAACCCATATGTGTCCACCTCTCTCCCACCTCTGCATTTTGACTTCATCCCTGACCCTCGTTAACAGAATGCCCTTCCTGAGGTAGGCTGCAAAGCCACTGCTCTCCCTTATGCAAATAACCCTAAAGAGCCATTGCTTTTATGATGCCATCAGAAATTAGCCAAGTGCTCTGCTCTTCTGTTTCCCTTACTCATCTCAAGGGTGAACTGCTCAGCTAAGCAGGCTAAAAGGATTGAGTGGTAGGAGGAAAGACGAATAAAACCATCTGAAAGTGAGGATGGCAAGAACTTGCAGGATAAACCATAACACCAGAAACAAAAGCAGCTGATAAAGAAGCACCTTCTGGCTGTACTGTTCACACTATTTCTATGCCATTTCCTGGACAAAGTAGGTGGTGAAACATCCCAGACACTCTAAGCTGGCTGTATCTCCTTGGAGATTTTTCATGCTGCTCAGAATGGATGGTATTTGTATTTCTACACAGCTTTTTGTGATTCCTTAATTGTCAGCAGAGGTTCATTGCAAAGATGGAAGTCAACATCAAAGTTTTTGCTTTAACTGCTCTTTATTTTCTGTTGAAGGTTACAGCGATTAGCAAAAGACCTCCTGAAGCACCTCCAGATGCAGGACAGCTGTTCCCTGGGGAGCAACAAAGTTCCTGGTCTGGACAGGACTTTGGGAGAGATCTCTCGTATTCTGGAAAAAGAGGTATTGTGACTGTTACTGTCTAACTTAACATTAACTATGAACTGTGCTGCCCTCAAATCTCACAGTTTGGAGCTGGGAATGTTTTAAACACGTGGGTGCATCAATGACCTCTGTGTTCCAAGTAGTGGCTGCTATTACGCTTTGCACTTTTTTTCCCCCCCACTGTATTTTCATTAGGGTTGTTTTTAACCTGGGGCATTTCAGTCATCTGGTTTATAGTGCTTACCCACAAACAGCTTTGACAGTGAGGGGCCAGAACAGTTAGCAGAGAACATAGCCAGAATTGGAGCCAGCTTTGCTGGGCACAGATCTGTTGAGTGTTCCCAAAGTACCACCAAGCTGGTAGGTCTCTGCTGGAAGCTGAAGGTATGATGTGCATACAGATGGGATATTTCTCTGGCTTGGAGTTTTCAACGTGCTATGACTGCAGAGCATATTTATGGTAAATGTTGGATTTTGGTTTTAATTGGTAGCGTGACATTTGCATCTTTTGTATTGTTTCCTCATGGTCAGTCTACACCACAGTGCTGTGTGTCTTGTCATGTGCTTAGCTGCTCCATTAGGACCACAGTATTGGAGTTTTCAGCTGGAACATTGTTCTGTTCTCTCCCTAACCATTAGAAAATTCTTCTCTTTCTCATCTCTCATCAAGAAATAATGAAGATTAGTTCTGAGAGAAACCAAATGAACGAGATCTGAGGAGGGGGTTGCATCATTGTGACTCAGAGTTGATGCCTGTGAAGATGAGAGCTCTGCTCAGCCTGTGTGCAGCACAGTTGCTGGTGGCCTGTGCTTTTCCATACTGGAGGCTGCCTGTGATGCATGGGGTCCTGTGTGTTCTGTTGCTCACTTGTTGCTGCTCATCCTGTTCAATAGTGTTTTGCAAAGAGTTGTGCCACTTCCAAATTCTGCAGTATTTGCATTAATTATTGAAAAATTCACTTTTTATTGATTTTGAAATCCAGAAATTATGTTGTTGCACGGTGACTATAAAAAGATGTTCCTATTTAGAAACTTGCCAAAGTAATTATTAGAAACTCTTTAGAAAGTGATGTTGCTTCCAGCCTCTTTCCAGTAGATGTTTCCTGAGATTTTTTTATACTGAGACATGACTTGGAGCTAAGTGTTGATCATTAATTGTTCACAACATTTTGCTGGTTGTTGAGTCTGCAGTGGGGAGTAAAATGATAAATTTGATAGTATTAATAGACATGCATTATTTTGTTGTTGATTTGGGTTTTTACTCCCAAAACATTACTCAGCCTCTGGAGAATTAGTATTATATCTAAGTGTCCTAATCAATAAGGTCAAAAGAGATTGATTTCAGTGGCTGTTGCTGTGTTGGGGCACAGATCATACATTGTCATTTGTAGAAGAGGATAGTGATTCTCTTGTTAACTTGGGAGTGGAGAAATCAGCAGACACATCTTACATGTCAGTGGGCAGTGAAAAGGGTCTTGATGGTGTCAGTCATGGACTGGGAGGAGGAGACTGACACTGTTAATTGAATTTCCCTGGAGAGCATAAAAATATACCCTAACTGGGGAGAGGAATGAGGGAGTGGGAACCACACAAGCTGTCAGTGTGTGTGAGCTGATAACATTGATTTACCCTTGCTAATGGCCTGGGTTGAATAAAGAATTGCCCTGAGGGAGAACAGGGTTCACTCCAATAGATCTTTGCCACTTACTAGAAATTCTTCAGGCTCAGAAGGAGTCGAGCAAAAGTATTACAAAACAAAATTGATCCCAAACCCCATTTCTTCAGTCAGACTGTGAAACATTACATTTTTCTTTTGTTAATAGTTTACACTTCCTGAAAAGCTTATTTATACAAGCTCACCAGGGACAGAAAGATTTGTTTTACAAACCATGAGCTCAATTGCTGAGCTGCTGTTGGTAGCAGTAAATAAGGAAAATAAATGCCATTGAGTTTCTCAACAGAAGGAAGGGTTATTCAGCTCGTTAGAAGTTCCATGTCTGTGCTAAAACAGCATTAAAGAGTGGGGTGCATTATTTATGCAAACTTGAAGCTCAAGAAAAGCCACATACAGAATATTGGCAGCTCAGTCTCGCTGGGGTTTGCCTTCAGGTACAGTCAAGTCACACTTCTGTTTGGGCTTAGTCTTCATCTCTCTATTCTACAGGAGTGAATAAAGCTTTTTCTCACTTCTGAACTTCTAGTGTGAGAATGTTCTAGGATGCTGCACACCTGCATGGTTACCGTGGTCACACCTCCTTGTTTTGCATGCCTTCCTGCTCTGCTGGACAGCAGCACATTGCTGGGGCCAACACAGCAAGAAGAGTTCGTTTGATGCAAACTCAAAGGTTTCTCTATCCATGAATCCTCGAGATACTCAAATTTGAGACATCTCTCTCTTGGGCAAAGATGCATCTTAGCCACTGTGTATGTTGGAGTCCTGGCTGCTTATTGCAGCCCCTTTCCTGCTTCTCATTAACACAGAATTCTGAGGCTGCTGCAGCTCTGCATGCAACACAGCAAATCCACAGCTTCCACTGTGACTCCACTGCATGATTTGAGTGCTGACAAATGAACGAGGAGTTGCTTTGCTTTGCTTTGCTTTGCTTCAGACAAGCCCTAGATCTCCAGACACTTGCCTGCTCTGGCTTGCTTGGCTGAAGCTCTGCAACCACTAGAAGCATTGCACCCTGTGCCAGAAAAGTACTGGCAAATAAGCAAATGGAAGTGCAGGTTCAGGGGATTTGACATGGACTATGACCATTGAAAGCATGAAATGTGTTTGAATTCAATAAACACAAGAGGTACTAGAAAGTCACAGACCACCCTGTGGTTCCAGTTTTAAACAGACTTGTACCCCTCAGGTTGTGTCCCTTGCACCCTTTGGGTGCTCTCTCAGCTATGGGAAGGCAGTCCTGGGGTTTGTGCATCTCATCCTTCCTGGCAGGAATCCTGGAAGGGAGTTGTATTCACTTTCACCTCTACTTTGTTTAAAAGTGCATTAAGAAAACAAACAGGCACACAACCACAACAGCAGAATGCATGCAAATGTTAGCAGAGAGCTCTGGCCTGGGGTTGGCAGATGGTCGTGTGGGACTCTTCAGGCTCTTAATAAGATCTGATAATGCTCAGTGTGAGATCTCCCATGAATGGGCCATTGATGCTAAAAGAAAAACTTGTGTAACTTCTTAAAGAAGGCAGAGCTGATGTTTGAAACAGCAGGGCTAGAACAGTTTTCTGCCCAATTCTTTTGATTTTATGCATGTTCATTCCTTGGTGGACTAATTTTACACATCCGTCACCGTGGGCAGCAATGTGTTTCACTGTGCAAGGAATCCCACACCAACTGCTCCAGTTTGGCTTGAGCTCTCACACAATGTCCTGTAAGAGGGAACTCTCTCAGAAACCAGGACATTGACAGCTGTGTATCCCCTCAGTGTGACTGCAGGGACACTTTGACTTGCTTATGCTTCTCTCATTTATTCCTCTCAATGTAGAGATGAGATCTCCTGATTACAAAGCTGCTGATTAAAATGTGTCTACTGCATAGAGGTTGGACATTGAACTGACTGAAGTCCACACCTTTCTAAGGCTGTGACCCTGACCTGAGGCAGAGGTTATTACCTCTCAGCTGCTCATCCTTAGACTTGCTGACAGAACATGACTTCCCAAAAGTTCTTCCTAAAATCTGCTTTTAGGGGGTTGGGTTTGGCTCCAAGTTATAAAAGTCCTACTTTTAAATGTTAGAAGAGGTAATCTGTGTGGTTTGGGGTAGGTCTGTGCTAGGCAGGGATGGCAGACACTTAATCTGAGGGCCCTGCTGTCACTACGGGTGGTGACAGCAGCTGAGGGCAGTGGCCTTTTCACCTGGCTCAGCTGCAGCTAAAACACTGCAGTTAAATCACTTCACTTACATTTGTACAATATTTGCATGTGACATCTAGACAGACAAGCCCTTAGTGTCTCTCTTGTCCATTCAACTGGGAATATGACACAGAGATTCAGTGTGATTGTGAGGGAACCTCAGGATTTTTGGAAGCCAAGTGCAACAGTTAATCTGCTTAACTGGAATTATTTTTTAGATGATGCTTCTTATCACTAGTTTGAAAAAGATCTTCAGCACAAGTTATGAGATTCCTTGAAGTGGTGTGACTGGAGATCTTGGAGCTCAGCTCCCACAGGCAGAGCTGCAGGGGCAGGACAGGGGTTTGATCCATCCCCAGCCTAGGCAAACTGGGCAGCTGAAGGCACAAAGTCGTAACAAACAAGATTCCACTGGTTCTGTTCATCAAACATACTATGATTCTGAACTGGCTGGAGGACAGCTGTGACCCTGATCTCCTCCAGGCTCTCTAGGTGCTGTAAAAGTCTCAGTAAATAAAAGTGAGTGTAATTACTATGATTCTGAACTAGCTGGAGGACAGCTGTGTCCCTGATCTCCTCCAGGCTCTCTAGGTGCTGTAAAAGTCTCAGTAAATAAAAGTGAGTGTAAAATAAGTTGTTAAAGTGTGGAAGTAAAGTGGAACCAGAAAACAGAAGAGGAGGCTTTCAGTAAATTCATGCCATGGTGCTTATAGTTCCTTACCAACTCTCATCTTGGAAGTCTAAAAGTAGCTGGTTTTCAGTAGGCTGAATTTTGATACAGTTATTTCATTACATATTCAGAATAGTGGAAACATTTCAGGGGAAAATGTTCTTACTTAGAAAAGGTGTAATGTAACTGAAAAATGTGTGACTATGAGCTAGTAATTTACTGCAGTGGTTTGATCCTTTTGTAAAGAGGATCCCAAAGCTTATGACCTCCAGAACATGCTCTCTGAGTGACCATTCATGGTTTGTTTTGTGTCAGGCAATGTTTCTGGGTTTGGGATTTTTGGAGAGCTTTTTCAGCCTCCTCCTCGAGCAGTGGTGATGTCAGTTATTTACATTTCAGTAAAATGTTTGTCGTAGCTTTCAAATACATGAGGACTGCAGACAGACAGTGTTTATCCCGTGGTAAAGACTGTCAGGAATGGTTGGCT